CAAATGGCATTTATTTACATGACTGGTGTTAGTCTGTTGATTAATGTTTAATGTTTTTCTAATTTCAGACTTTATTTTATTGAAAATTCCCAATGAAAAAGGCTAGTAAGCCAGAAAGCAATTGCCTTTTATCAGTTATTTCCAACTGTAGATCTTCTAAGAGAAAGTGGGGAAGTGAATGTAACAATTTTATTCTCTAAAAACTGACTTCTTTGTTCCATTTTCAAGTCAAAATTTCTCCAGAAAAATTTCATATTTTTATGAAACACCAAGTTTTATGTTCTTTATGGTTAAACTCTCACAACTGATAAAATTATCCCGAAATGACATCATAACCAAAATGCTTCTCCTCTCATTAGCCTACCATGACTATGATATCTTATGTAAATATGTGACTAACAAAAAAAATGAATGGGCCATAAATACTGAGGACCATATTTGTGTGTTTCCAAAGTGAGGGGTTCTGCGTACTATCAAGGAGATGTAAACTACTGACTACACTGTTGATGGTGCTGCCTTTTTGCTCCATTGCCTTTTCAAGTCTTCAACGTAAAAGAGCAATCGCAGTTCGGTTTCACATGTATTGTTCTATAATCCAGGCAATAAATGCTAATTAGTAATGCTCAAGGATCCGACCATTCAGAGTAATTATCATAATTTACTTCTTCCTTGTTAAAGACATTCCTTGCTGATTAGAAAAAAAAATTAAATCGTCGTTTTACCATTGCACTGCAGTGGAAATGCGCTAGAGAGATGTTCAAGGTATAGTAACACCATTGCGGTTGCATTCCAAGTCACTGACCTGTGCCTCTTAGCTTATTACAAATGGAATTGCAACTTAATTTCTAAGAAGAAATTCATGTAAATGCGTAAAGTTTGGCTTGTAGACCAGGAATATATGATTTTATTTTACCATCCTGAGGGCTCCACCTTCCTGGCCCACCCTCTTTCTAAAACCACTTACTGAACAGAACAAAGGAAACTGCTAACTATAGAGGCATCATTAAGTGTGAACTGCAACAGCATGATAAAGTGTGTGATATGACAACATATTTCATTGCACACAAGTGCGGATAATTAAATAATTCAATAGTAACCCTGACTAATTAGCAGAAAGATCTTTAAGGAGGAGTCAAGAAAATGGATCCGATCACCTTGAATAATGTGCTTCGTTCTCCAAGATCACAAATTTATTTTGGTTATTTGATGATTGATTAACTCATATAGAAAGATGAAGACAAAAGCCTATTTCTCAAAGCAGAGCTTTGATCTGGTGTCCTCTTTAGGACAAATTAATCATATGTTTTAGAAGTGCTGAATTTAACGTAGGGCTTTCTGTTTTCAGTCAAAGATGAAATCTGCCCTTCTGTTGAATATTTCTCTTTTGTTGATTGATCTAAGAAATTATCAACCCTTAGCTTTTTACATCGTTGCTTCAGAATATAGATGTAGCCTCGTCCACATTTTCTAATGAGTCTCTTGTTTAAGTTTGTTTCTCATTGCTTGAAGCAAATAAATATCATGGGCACAGAAGGAACAGAATAAATAACCGTGCTGAATATTATATATGGTGAAATCCTTCCCCCTTCCTTTATCAAGGTAATATTCCCCGTATTCATTGTTTATTGGTCCTTTAAGAGAGAGCTTTAGCTTTTACTTGAGGGTTGTAAGCACATTAGAGGAATAATTCCCTTTGGATACTGTACAGAAGGAGCCACCTGCAAAATGTTGATGCTGTTATTGAAGTCTCAAGTGGAATCAGCTTTCAAAAAATTAGATATTAGATACATCCGATATAATTTGTAATGTGTAATTATACTAATGTGCATATAGTTGTGTGTTGCTTCACATGTTGCCTACTTGAGTTTTTTTTTTTTCTTTTCTTGTGCATTTCTCATCATTTGAAATGGTTCCTGAGTAGAATGTTTTTAAAATAAGCTTATTTTTAAAAATTCTTTGTTGATTAATATAGGAATAAGAAGACTCTACGATCTGTGTTCTTATGCAAGAATAAATATGTATGACTTAGATATTGGAAATTAATTATCTTTAAAAGGGTTATCACTGTGGACACTTGCTTAATGTGTAGAATATTTGCTACTCTTGATTGATTTTGTCTTTTTCCTGACTTTAGACAACTTGAAATAATGGAGAATTTTAGGATAGTAAACGTTATTCATTTGTTTCAAGAAGAAATTCATTTCCTTTGTTGGAATAACAAAATCAAATGCCAGGGAAATGACCTTAGGCAGAGATAATAATTTTAATTTATCCAGGTTAATCAAAGCAATAACAATAATAAACAAGTTCTTTTATTGTTTTTTACTGTTTTGCATGGCACATGTTGAACACTGAAACTCTGCCTTAGGTTATTTATGCACTAACTTCAACTTCCCTTTTGACATCTTGACATGATGCCCAAGGTTTACTAATGGCCCCACTGGAGCGCCTCCTTCCAGGGAGCTGAACCCTGAAGATCTACCTATTAAGGAATAAGCCAGGCATAGCAATACTGAGTTGGTTGGTCAGCCTGGTAGTTGGCACTTAACATGTGCTCAGTAGGAGAAGAGGCTCTTGATGCAAATTTGGAGAATCGTTACCATCAGGTCACACAGAGACCCTGACCAAGGCAATATAAGGGTCTCAATTTATGCTTATGTGTTTGGCAGACAAAAATAAATCTAAGGGAGGCTTATATTGAAGTGATACAAGATATGACTCATTGCAATTGAGTAAGTATACAGCCCAAAGAAAGCTGATTTGTAAAACAGTTGGCTCATAGTAGACGCCTAGAATATGGTCATTCACATATTTATACTATCCATTTCTCAAAATTTGTTTTAATAATGGAGGCCCTATTACAAAAGATATTTTGCATAATGTATAGCTACATAATACCAAAGCAATACAAGGCTTACTTTTCACCTGCTCGTGTATTCAAGGACTTTCCATCCTTAGGTATCCAAATGAGCCACAAAAAATTGTGTGAAATGTTATTCCTTAATACGTAACATTTTAATTTATTTAAAAAATGAGTTTTACAAATGTGTATCAAAAGCTTAGCACCCCATCATCCCTGTCAGTGTTCACAAAATAATAAATTCTAAAATCTTTATGATGTATATTTAATTACACATCCAAGATCAGTTATTGCAAGCTTAATTAGAACAGAAAAATACCTATTAACATTTAACACTTAGTAAAACATATTATACCTGCCATCTAGAGAGCCAGCATCCTCAGTGTATCCAAAGTGGTTAACGCAAAAAGCAGTGATGTGTCATAGTGTACCCCTTTTGGTGTGCCTAACTTATTAGACACCTTCATTGTGTAAGCATGATAAAGGGGTTGATGATAAAGTCTTCAGTTAAATTAGCATCTACTTGCAAAGTATATTTTATTCCTAACAACTTTTGTAAAATCAAAAAGAGAAACATTAATAACAACTCTTCTCAAATACCCTTATCTTTAAAATGCTTGAGTTGGATTACTTGGGTTCTAAATTTTTCTACAGCTTTAAGAATTTTTGAAGCTATTCTAAAGTATGGAGGCATAGGAACAACTCCAGGACGCGTGAATCCAGAGCTCATTTGTTCCAACAGTTGCCCTTCAAAGTTATATTTGATTCCACCTCCACGTTCTGTATTTACTAACATATTTTGCATTGATGCTAAAACAGTAAAGACTGGAGTTCATCTTCAGGAAGGGGCAGTGACAGAAAAGAAGAACAGCTGAAGAATGAAAAAAACCACACAGTGGGAGAAGTAAATTCTTGATCTGAATTCTAAGCCCATTTATTTCAATTAACATTAACATAGAAGAAACCCTGACAAGCACCTGCCTTTCTATTTTAAGACTATATTCTTTAGTCCTGCCTTCCTTTAATTTCTTGCGGTATGGTTTGTTTTTTTCCATTGGATTAACTCCTTTGAGCTTCACATTTTTCCTTCCACTTGATTCATTTGAATCATCTTAATATTCCTCTCAGAAGCCTACAGTAGTTATATTAACACATCATACTTCCCAAATTAAATCTTAACATGTTCAAAGCCACCTGGAAATTGCCCTACCCCATTTTCTAAAACCACTCAGAATGTGTAATCTCTCCTTGTATTAAGTGAGCCTGCTTTCTCTGGCTTCCAAGTCATTGAATATGCTCGTACCCTGCTTTTTCTTTCTGCATAATCTGTCTCTCCACCTATTCTACACTTTGGAAATCTTCTTCTTTATTTTTCTTTTTCTCTCCATCCTTCTCTTCTTTTTTTGTTCTCTCTTCCCTCCTTCCTTTCCTCCCCCACTTTTTAAATCTTTCTTTTCTTTTTTTCTTCCTTTTCCTTTTTTCTCTTTCTTTCTCTTTCCTTCCTTCCTTCCTTCCTTCCTTTCTCTCTCTTTCTCTTTCTTTCTTTCCCCTCCCTCCCTACTTTCCTTCCTTCCTCTCTCTTTCTCTTTCTTTCTTTCTTTCCCCTCCCTCCCTCCCTCCCTTCCTTCCTCTCTTTCTTTTTCTTTTCTTTCTTTCCATATCATGTTCGGTAGCAGGCACTGGGAATACAAAGACAAATACAAGGAACTGACAATACCTAACAATTCTAGTGACTTCACTCAGCCCTGCATTGCTAAGCAGTTATGTACCCACAGCTCTCTTACTTTGCTTTTACTCCTGGGATTCATTGGAATGTGTCCTCAATGTCTTGTGTTCTTTTGTTTTTTCCCTATGTGTCCTATTTCAGTAAGTTCCCTGTTGGGTAAACCTGAAGCTTTTCTTACATAGCATTTTCTCCCAGAAAGAGCTTAGAGTGGTATCTCACACACACTCAGGCAATGTCATTGCTGACTGATTCTTTAGGGAGGGGAGCAATGTAAAACAACGGCACTTTTCTAGTGATGCAGCATTTCATCTGTAGTTAGACCTAGTACAGTCCCCAAAGTATCATTACATTTATTTATTTTTATTAAAGAGTCAATGTGATAACTTTCTGTGACATGTTCTGTTATTTTTTTAGTTGTGTTGATGTTCCTTTCAGCTGGTCCTATAGGCCCCCTCCTCAGGAATGTCTCCCCAGTACAAAGACAAAGACTGCAGAGACTGCTATATTGATGGACCCTCAAGCCAACTATGAAGTTGAAACAAAGAAAGCGATCACCTGAAGACACCTCCTCTGCTAAGCAGCACCCCCAAATTGTGCAGCTTCAGCCACTAGGACTCTCAGAACAAGAGGCAATCTTTTCAAGAAACAGAAAAACTCAATAATGACATCTAGATTTTCATGAGCCAAGAACCTTCCCTTCCTCATGTGTATTCCTCTGTTTGTACTTAAATTCATGTGACATTCATTTTTTTTCCTAATACGGATATGCTTATTAATGTACTTGTTTTAAAATCCCAAATTGCACAAATGTGTTAATATTTTAAGAAACAAAATTAATCCTACAAGGAGAATGATTTTTAGTCACCCAGAGGGTTGGATCTTAAGAGTGGCCTACAGAATAAAAAGAACTTTTAAAATAAAGTAGTCAGAGGCTATTCAAAGGGTAAAAATAATCATACTATCACATTGCTCCACTCGACACTAACCAATCAACTATTTTTTTTTTATCAAGAAAGGTAGATTCTATGAGATAAAATCACTGCTTCTAAAGAGCTTAAATCTAATTATAAAAAGTTATAGAAACTTTTGAAAAGATAAGTAATAGATAGGCTTGGTAGAGGATAAAATCAAAAACAAAACCAAGCAAAAGATGAGTTCAGGGGAGTTCGCCATAAAGTTGGCAAAACTGGCTTTTTTAGGGAAGAAAGTTCTAAAAGAGGAAAATATGAGATGAGCCTTGAATGATATCGAAGATTTAGATAAATGGAAAAGAAGGAGAAAATGGAGCTCTTCAGGTGAATGTAATTGGAGGAGAAAATGAACACACACATCTTGTCGACTTAACCCCAAACATTCAGCAGCTCTCTATATCAAATAAAGGGCTTGCACACTCACCTCCTGTCTCTCACCCCAGGTATTACCTAGAATTATTATCATATTTCCCTTCAATTAAAGTGGGTGATTGGTGACAGTATGGAGAACTATGATTTTTCCATTAACCTAATAATAATTGGTATTTATTGAGTTCTGTTAGGCATTTCACATATTAACTCACTGAAGCCTTATGACAACTGTGCAAAATAGGTATTATTCCCATTTTACAGGCAAGAAAACTGAGGTTTAAGTAACTTGCCAAAGTGCCATATACAGGGCTTACATTCAGGATTGCAACTGCAAAGCTCATGATCTAAAGTGCTAGGTTGCAATATTGTAATCAGTGTCACAATTATTATTCCTTCTTGTATTCCTTGATATTTTTTCATGGTAAACAAATAGCTATTTCATTTAACAGTCACCTCAAACTTTTCAGCCTTCTGGTTAAAATTGATCTAGAGTGATAGAATGTATTTTCATGATAGAAATGGGAAAAAAAATGGGGGAATAAAGTTCATCAGCATTTCAGACTTTTTTTTTTGCAAGACTTTGATGAGATTGTTCACTTTTATCTACATGAAATCCCAAATCCTTGAGAATAAAAAAGGGAGAGGTTTAAGTCACCTGTTGCAATGCCCTTTTAAATAGAAGAGATAAATCTATAGCCCATAAATTAGGAGTGACTTACAGAAGATTGCACTTTGGGGTGTGGGGTAAGGACCAGGAACCAGGCCCTCCATTTCACTGTCAGTAGCTCTTGCACTAGTATGCCCTTCCTGAATTCAATGTGCAGTGTGCACCTGAATTTTATCATTGGAAACAGCCTATCTAGGTAGCAACCAGATAGTGCCTAGTAGATTGTTTCTGTTCTATACTTCTTTGGTTTCCTACCTCAATGTTAAAAATAGTTAGCAGTGAATTCCAGAAGTTGCTAATGGTTCATCCCCCAAAGAATGCATAATGTCCAAAGTCTTATGTGTATAATGTCTTCAATGGTATTTTTAAGTTATTTCGAATTCTTAGTTCACATACATAAATCATACCTAACGAGCATCTTCTTAACCAACTTTATGCACAGTATATGTTTGTAAGTGCTTCTGCACGAATATTTATACATGACTGTTTCCATAGTACTTATATTTTTAAAAATATTCAGTCATTTCCTATTCTAATTTTCATGTATCCATGTAACTGACTCAAAAATACTTCAGCCATAAAAAGCTAGAACTGAGCAAATCTCATTCTTCTTTTCCATCCCTTTTGCATGTGGCTGGCATTTAGTAATGATTAATAATGTGGTCAGCTGAATAACAGAGGTTCAAGACACAATTCTGTCTCAAAGGAGTCAGGTAAGCTGGGTCCACTTACGGATAAACATCTAAATGTGTGGAAGTATCTGATATTTGACTATGGTAAATTTCCACTTAGCTAGCTCGCATTGTCAGGCTTAGATCTCCTCATGGCTCTGGCCGTCCTGTTTTCAACATGATAACTGTTGGCCACATCTCACACAGTTCTCATTAAGTGAGTTCATAAATAAACAGAGTTTTGTTTTTTTTTTTAAAGAGCAGCCAAGCACAAAGTGTGACTTTGTTGACATTTTATGTGACTTTGTCATGTGTTTCTAACCCCCAATAAAAGCAATGTTGCATCAACTGTGAACTTGTGTTGATTTATTGAAAAAGCATGCTCTTATAAGTTGTTTGTTTTCACTGGTGTATATCAAAGGTAGTTTCAGGATCCACAAGGAGCAAGTCATCTAATGTGAAAGGAAAATTTAAATGTAGAGACAACTTCTAAAGGATCCCACATTACCTTTAAATAAAAGGTACTGTCATCTACCAAGTCAGAAACCAAGGTCTGATCCTTGTCTCTTCCAGTTCCACCAGCAATGGTCAATTACTCACGTAATCTTCTGATTTTTTTTCTTCTTTCTGTTATTTAAATATGTCTACATCTCTCTCCATCTATGCTACTGCAGTAAAGAACAACCCTAATTTCTTTCCTGGACTTCCTTACCATGCCTTCAGTTTTCTTCACACTGCCAAGGGGCAGCCAGGGAATTCTCTCTAAACCACAAATGTGATTGTATTATTTCATGGCTTCAAACTCTTCACTGGCTTCCCATTGCCCCTGAGATACCATGATACCTAGTGTTCTTCATGTCCTCATCCTGGCTCCAACAGTCCTCTCTGGACTCATCAACTCTTCAGCCCCTCTGTGGTTCTAGGCTCCCGCCATACACCTGCCTTTTCTTAATGTTCCCTGTATCTTCTGGGCTTTCTCACACATTTCAGCTTCTGTCTAGTACTTTCTCCACTACACCTTCCAGACTCCATCACTCATCCTTCACATTCCATCCTAGAAGTTATTTTCTCTGGAAAGTTTTCACCCCAGCCTCTACCACCACTAAGACTAGCTTCCCTACCTAGGGGCTTTCATGTCATTCTGTGCTTACCTCTTGTTAGTACTTATCACCCAGGGTTGTGCTCATATTCAAATATGAGATTCTAGAGCTGCACCATTCAACAAGGTAGCCACTCACCATATGTGACGATTTCAATTTAAATTAATTAAGTAAAATTTAAAATTTAGTTCCTCAGTTGCATTGCTCACATCTCAAGTTCTCAGTAGCCACAAGCTACTGGTGGCCACTCTTGAACAGAACAGATACAGAACATGTCCATCACTGAGAAAGTTCCACTGGACAGTGCTGCTCTAGAACATAAATGCTATGTTTTGCTTGCTGTTGTATCCCCTGGACTTGCAGCCCTTTCTTAACTGGAGTTTGTCATGTGAACCACAGAGAACAAAAATATGATTTGAATGATATTTTCTCAATTCTGCCAAGAATGATGTATAAAAAATACAATGTTATATGCAAAGGAAGGAGCATTAGGGTTCAATTCCAGCAGAAAATCCTGATCAGGAAAGTCTACAATAGCCTAGCACAAAGTTTGGCATCAAAAGTACTTCATAAATGTCTGCTGAATAAATATTATGACTGGACACTTGAGACAGTTTATTTATTTTTACCTAAATGTGTAGAATCATGTAGGAAATATGTCTTTAGATTCCGAAGGGCCCCTTCTCTAGAGAATGTGGTAGGTGATTTTTTAAAAATTTCATCCCAAGGATAGGTGAATTGTATTGCAGCAAAAGATTATCTATTATTTCACTTTCCTTTGATGTTTACACAGACCAAAAAAAAAAAAAAAGAAAGAAAGAAAACTGAGCTCTTATTAAGTGAATGAATGAACATAAAAGTGATTCAAGTAGGTAGCTGATTTGATACACCCTATATCTTTTAGGAATTGGCCAAAGTTTACTAAAAATATTAACTATTTACTGAGCACCTGCTATGTGCTGGGCATTTTGTTCAATTTTGAGGATACAGGAAGGGACAAGATGGACACAATTCTCGCACTCACAGTATATATTAACATTAATATAATTATTTCAGTTCCTCGCTATATCCAAAAGCAGAAGTTTTAAACCTCGGCTGTACATTGTAACCACCTGGGGAGTTTTGAAAATACCTGAGTCTCTCAAAAGATTCTGATTTAATTTGTGTGAGTGTGGCCTGGGAATTGGAATTTTCTAAAGCTCTCCTGGAGACTGGAATGTGCAGCTAAAGCTGAGAACTATTGATTATGGGAACATAATCTTAGACTGAGCTCAGAAAATCCAGAGTTTTCAGTATTAAAAGTTCATAGCATATTAGAACTAAAACCATCTGTCTAACACATTTTTATTTATTCCTCAGAATATAAACTGATACTTAACAGTCACTGAGTTGTCCAGGTCAAATAGCCAGGTCATGACTGAGATAAGACCTGACCCCAGGTTTCTGATTTTAACAAAACACTCTTCCTTGTTACACTAAACTATCTCAGGGAAGTGGAAAATATAATTACCTTCAAGTGATGAGACAACCAATAGCCACTGTGGTCATAATTTTTAACAGCAAAATTGAATTTGGACCAAGTTGAATCCCATATACTCAAATAATTCTGCTAATCAAATGTGAAAATGCAACTCATTAAAAACTATATATATATATATATATGTATATATCCATAAACAGGATACAGAGGAGGCCCACTTCCCCAGGAATCATAAGCATATCAAATTCACAAATCAATATATATATATATATTAAACTCCACTAGAAGGATATTTTGCCTTTCAACTTGAATTAGTAGCAGAAATGGTAGTGGGAAGACAAAATTTTAAAAAGTGCATTGTGCTCCCACATTTTCTGTCCCCACCCAACTTATACGACATTCTATTCCATTTCATATTTCACAGTACAGATAAATTGACAGTCTGTCCCCATGAAAAAAGTTGACATTAAAAAATAACCACTATAAAAAATAGTTACTTCTCGCAGTTACCACCATGCACCACTTTTAGATTCTACTCATAGATCAAGAGAATCCCGGAACTCTGTCATCAAATCTACTCTACTCTATCCATATAAAATCACATAGTGAAAATGTGCCATTCCATATTTTAAAGGCATCAGAAGAAAACTAACGTCCACATACTTCCTTCAAAATGCATTTCAGTGTTTGAGATTCTACACAGTTGGGAAATTCTTATTTCTATTCCAAATCCCTCACGCTGTAGTTTAATCCCATTTTCTCTTGTTCCCTGTGGAGAGAGAGAACAGCCAGCCTCCATTCTTTTAAACTCAATCCCTTCATGTCCTTAAAGACAACTACTTCCCAGCCTTCTCTTCTCTGGAATAAATAAGAACAGTTCCCATCAGGAAAAGTTTCTCCTGGATTGTGCATATTCACGGCCATATCACATGTATTCATGCTCATCACATAATGCTCATAACTAAAACAAGCCAAGGCCAAGAGCAAAAACAAGCAAATGTATCATTGTTTTCATGAATGAAGTTACAGAACCAATAATAGACACTGAATAAATTGCTGAAAATGATGATCTTCCAATGATTATGTACCAAAATTATCATAATTTCTTTTAAACGTGTTGGCAATGTGTTGTTTTTGGAGAGGTGAATTAAAAATTAAATGATTAGGTTTCAATTTCCTTTATGCAAGTTCTCCCCATGCACTGCAATGGAATATTCCATTCAGCATTCCACAGCGGGAGCCACCATTGCTTTGACAAAAATAGATACAGTATTGGAACATTCAGTCAATGGAGTAATCCAATTGTCTGAACATTCTTTTCTGCTTTGTCATTTACATTTTAATAAATCCCAGAATATGTCAAGCTGTATCCAGTCGTACCAAGTGTAGCTAACCACATGCAGTTACCAGATGCAATGAGGGAATCATAACATGCAACTCCTACAATGAATCAACATTTGGTTTATGTGTATTTTTAGGCTCCTACATTTGAAATAGGAATACTCTTAAAAATGAAAAATAGATATTTTGAAAAATATGTTAGTATATTCAGCTTTCACAAAGGAAGCTGTGGGCCAAGTGTGCTCTATTTAATTGATCCAGGAATTCTGGCATCTGCTGACCTCAAGGACAACACTATATATAGATAACAACAATGTGGAATGTTACATTATTATCTTATGTCTATTTCTCTGCCAGTTTACTGTCTCTCCATTTAGAAGAGTCAGATAATCATATTTTAAAGACATGTGACATTTGACATTCCATGATGTCAAGACTTCAGGTAAACCAGTCCTAAAATATGTGTGTGTGTGTATGTATGTGTGTGTAGTTATTATGCATATATGCATAACTTAGTCCATGCATATAACAGCCACCAAGTTTTTCAAGACTTTGAGAAATTTCTTATCCTGGCTTATAAGAGCCCAGTGAATTTTTGCAATGGGTTTAGAGCTGTAATGATGATGGAATGAGCCTCAGCATGTTGGGGATCCCTAAGCAGCAGGTACATGCTTAGAGAGGAGGGTTGTCCAAAGATGACACTATTAAGACTACTCTCTTTTAGTAAAAATCACATGAGACATTGGCTCTGGTTATATCCTTTGTATGTAATTATCTAAGTCACTTAAGTTAACCCATCAGATAAGTCCCATTTTAGGTTTCTCCTCTCAACCTTCTAATTATTACCCTTTAAGATAATGACTGCCAAAAATCCCAGGTTATTTCCTGACATCAGGTAAATCTGATTAGCGTTAAACTTGTGATATACTCAAGGACTAAAAGGAACCATGAAAAAAAATTTTATTTTTTTGCTGGTGCTTAGAGCACTTTAAATGCTTGCAGCAGGGATTGTGAGTAGTGCACCACGATTATTACAATATCCAGAGTTAGGTATTATGTTGAGGAGACTATATCATAGTTTACCAGTAGTGGGAGGCAGAAAATTAAAAGTCCAGTAGCATTGTAATGCACAAGTGATGTTGGCAGAATTTCTTGATTCCCAGAGTTTTCTCTTACTCTGCTCATGGTGTGATAGCTTGTAGGTTCAGCGGAAAAGTAGGAACAAGCCAATGGCAGAATAATTGCAGCACCTTGAAGGCCTCTAGGAAAGGACTTCTGCAACTTCCCCATGCACTTAGAGTACCATCAACACTTGCTCTCATAAACTACTATAGTAACTGGGGAATATGGCTCATTCAACGAACTTGAATTAATAAACTAAGCAATCAACATTAGGGAGAATTTGGGGAGGAACGTTAGCCAGTGCATGTCAAGAGACACGTTCAAAGTTCATTTTCATGAATCAAAGGTCCTATGTTCTAGATCCATTGATAATTATTTCCTTTACAATTTCTGTAGTAGAGTTAGCTCTTTGGTAAGAAGAGAAACATAGTAGTTAGCTTGTTCTTACTTTACAAAGATTTTGAAAGTAAATATGGTATAGTGTTTGAGAAGGTCTTTAGATTACATACCCCTGGCTTTTAAATACCCAGGTTAACAGAGATGAGCAGCGTGCAGATGTTATAGAAAATGAGTATGGTTTTCAGAATATGCTTTAGATCCTTTCTTCCGTCAAATTCCCTTTTTAATTCCAGGTTCATAGACTTTCACTGATGCAGAAGTCACAAAGGCCATCTAGTACAATTCCCATCTTTTGCTTGAATTTTCTATGTTAGCTTATCATGGACCACATTCCTGATCAGCAGTTCCATCTTTGGACAACTCAGATCATTTGAATACTTTTTCTTTTTATTGAATCACAAGGGCCTCTTTCATTGTTCCTTTTTTACCCTTAGGAGATATAGTGTAAGTCTAATCTCTCTTCTATATGTCAGTCATACAGATATTTAAAAGAAGAAATCATGTTCCTTCCAGAGTCATTTTTCTCTGGGCTGCACACACTTAGTACTTTCAGGCATTCCTCCCATGCCATTATTTCACATACTTTTGTCATTCTTGTGAGTCTCCACACTCCAATTGGTTTGTTTGCCTTGTTAAATGTACTGCCCTGAATTGAATGTGTTTTTCTAGATGTGGACTGACAAAGGGGAAGAAATGTGTGATGATCACCTTTAAAACTTTTTCCCTAAGTACTGGATTTCTGGAAATAAAACTCATATTAATCTTTTTAGCAACCATCTAGCAGCATTGATTTATCTTATCTTACTATCTATTAAAACACTTAAGTCTTTTCTATACATGCTACTGTCAAACACTATTTCCCTCATCCTAAAATTCAGCTCATCATTCCATCTCCCAATATCTTTTTATCCTAAGTAAGATATCTGATAAATTAGATTTTTTTTCAGAATCATTTTATTCAAATGTTTGACTCATACTTACCCAAAAGAGGTCAAAAGAAGCTTAGTGAAGTCACATACTGAAGTTAGGATTCTAAATGTCATTCCCCAAAACTAACAGTCTAATAACTTCCAAAGAAAGAAGTGAAGTTAGTCTGGCATGGTTGGTTTTGTTTGTTTGTTTTAGCATATTTACATGCTTTGTTTTGTTTTAATAACTACTGATGCTAGGAAGAAGCTATCTAGATAAATGATGGATATCCAGGGAAATTTGTTCCCGGATCAACGTTTTGCTTTAGGTAATTAAAAACGGCAACATTCTGTATGTGAATAATTGAGATTATCATAGTGCATGCACTGATGTTTAAATAACTGGATTTTTCTTTTTCCTGCTATCTTATTGGGTTGATAAATATCCTTCCTTGAAAGAGGAGATTTAGGGTAAACAGACTAGGAAATCTTTTGCCTATAGTATGTATGGATATTAAGATGTCTATATATCTTCAAAACTTACCTATCCCACAAAGTAAAAGCAGATGTGGTTTAAAAATATATATTTTTGGTTTCTCACTGTAGTAACAATCCTCTATATAAGGTGGGTATGATCTGGCATCTATTCAAGGGGGTTATCTACCAAAGCGGCTAAAGAAACTAATAGGAATTTCAATTAGAATTCATGAAATGAGTTGAAATTCATGAAAAAGCAGTTCCACAATCTGGCTCCAGAAGACAGAATCTTCAGCAAGGCTCCAACGTACTATGCTGTTGGATGGTGGTGTGTATTTGATCATTGAAAGCACCCTTTCATTCCTGCCCTCACTCCTGTGCTGAGAGTTGGCGATTCTTTCTCTGTACTCCATTTGCTTTAGCCCTCCCCTCTTCCCTTTTTCTCCTTTCCTTTTCTCATTGGTATTTCATCTTTCTTTTTTTCACTGATTTTCTGAGAAGTCATGGTTCTTTCCACTAATTATGGATTATTGTCATTTTTTTTTGAGACAGAGTCTCGCCCTGTTACCCAGGCTGGAGTGCAATAGTACAATTTCTGCTCACTGCAACCTCTCCCTCCTGGGTTCAAGTGATTCTTCTGCCTCAGCCTCCTGAATAGCTGAGATTACAGGCATGTACCACCATGCCCGGCTAATTTTTTGTATCTTTAGTAGAGACAGGGTTTCACCATTTTGACCAGACTGGTCTCGAACACCTGACCTTGTGATCTGCTCTCCTCGGCCTCCTGAAGTGCTGAGACTACAGGTGTGAGCCACCACTCCTGGCCAATTATGGATTATTTAAGAGCCATTACTATTTGAATTTGGTGTACATATTTGGCTTTACTTCTGATGCTACTATTGTTCCCTTAAGACTTCATTTGCTTAAACCAATGTTAAAATTACATCTACAGCTTCATGTAGGAAGTCATATGGATTCTGTTATCTCCTTGAAGAAAAGGAAAAAGGAAAGAAAGGAGCCCTTTCTAGACGGTTTCTATGCTTTTCCCCTGAGTTACTTGCATACTTTCCTCTTTTGCTATCTGGTTTCTTTGACGGGGGAAAAGATTTAATACTAAAAGGCTGTCCCAACCGTTCTTCTCTATTTCAGTGAGTAGCGCTACTCACTTTCACCATTCTCCTCAAGGCCACCCCTCCTATTCACTAAGTGGTTCTTCAACTAGGCTGTGTATTAGAATCGCCCTGGAGAACTGGTAAATCACAGATTGCTAGATCTCCTCCAGAATTACTGATCCTGTAGGTATGGGATAGAGGTCTGGGATTTGCATTTCTGACAAGTTTCCAGGGGTTGCTGCTGTTGTGGGTCCTGGGACGACACTTTGAGAGTCATTGCTCTAATTCTAAACCAGGACTTCATCCTTCCTCAACCATTTCTTCCATAGGATAAATAATCCTGGTTCTTTTAACTTTTTTTTTTTTTAAATACGATCTATTTCCAGAACTCTTAACATCAGGGTAGCTTTCTTTCAACTGTTTCCAAATCTATCCTTAGCTGGATGGCCAGAACTAGATACAGGACTGTAGGTAATTCTGATGTAATAAAAATACAAACTCCTTATATTTTAATGATATAATTCTCCCAAAGAGTTAGAGCAACACTTTTTAAAATCTATTATTTAGTTTGTCTACCTACTATTCATCTGAAGTTATCTCATTTTGGTAAAGGAAATATTTGGGGTAGCAATATTGAGCAGGTAGCATGAAAACCTTCAGGACAACACTTGAACTCTGCTTTCCTGATTCCTAGTTCACAAGGCTAAATTTTTGGAGAATTTTGTAAATTTTAAAATCCAAAGTCCAGTTTAGTTCATTGAAACAAGGTAAACTGCTTCGACCTAATAATACACTGTTTAAAAGTAAAATTCGCTTGATTTTGAGTCCAAATTGTTGTCGGCTGTGCCTGATTTAAAGAACTCTCTTCAAATACAATGAAAAACTCAAAGTCTTTTACTTAGACCTTTATTTTATCTTATTTTAATTAATTAATTTATTATTTTATTTTACCGAGACAGAGTCTCATTCTGTCACCCAGGTTGGAGTGTAATGGCGCGATCTTGGCTCACTGCAGCCTCTGCCCCCAGGATTCAAGCAATTCTCCTGCCTCAGCCTGCCAAGTAGCTGGAATTACAGGCATGAGTCGCCACACGTGGCTAATTTTTGTATTTTTAGTAGAGATGAAATTTCACCATGTTGGCCAGGCTGGTCTCGAATTTCTAACCTCAAGTGATCCCCCTACCTCGGCCACCCAAAGTGCTGGGATTATAGGTGTGAGCCACCATGCCTGGCCTCTAGACTTTATTTTTATGACCACAGGTAGTGTCTTTACACTGTGATCCTACCTTTGGCTTTCAGTTTGCTAAGCATATTAATGTGGGTGCAGTGTGTCCCAACATTTTATCTCTTGTAGTAAAATAGCCTTCTGCCTCTATAAGTTGATTATGACATTGTTACATTCTTTCCAATCTTGCTATTCTCCAGATAATTAGGGATTTCTACATTTATCATTTACTTGATCTTATGTACATATTTCCACTTACAAAAATGAGAAATAGAGCTTAGAGGGAAAGCAGCTTCTCCACCTACCAATTTTATTATTTACATGATCTCAAAGTCCTTTAGCTCCCTAAGCCCCATGGTCCCCTTTCTGCTTTTCTTACATCCTGTCTTGTCTTCCTGTCATGACAAAAAAAAATGAAGAGTTTGACAGCTGATAAGGCCATAAAGCTGGATTAGATAGGTTTTTAAGGGTCCTATTGTTTGCCCCTAAACCATTATTGCAAAAGTGAAAGGCTCTAACTGTTCCACTGACACACAAATTGCCATCAGCAAGGTATTAGAAGGAATCTCATTTATTACCACCAAGGAAATAAATAACACCAATGGACTGAGTGTCTTTCATCCAAATTAGACTAACCAAATCAATTCAAATCATTAGAATACATTATATCCAATTAAATATAAATCTGCCTTGTAAATAGCCACTTACCTGCTTGCCCAGAGCAATGTAATGCTTTATGCTAAACTAACAGTTTAAAAAATTATAGAATTGACTGGCAAACTATTTTAATGAGTTGTTACAAATTTTTTTACTTAATTCATTCAATAAACATTAATTTAGGACCTACTATGCCCTGGGAATACAAAGATGAATAATACATAATCCTTGTTGTCAAAGCGCTCACCTCATTAGGGGAAACAGACATGTAAAGAAAGGCTGATCCTTAGTAACGTTTAGTCTCTGGAAAATTAATGGTGTGAATTTCTGCCTGATTCAAGTCTGGGGAGGGAGCGGTAGGAAGATGAAGATAGTAGAGGAAATATCTAGAGGAAAGTAAAAGATGAAAATTTGAGAGAGACTGCATAAAGGATTGTGTCCAATGCCTTCCAGTGGACATGTAAATACAGGTTTAAGTTAAGTTGAATATAATGAAGAAGATAGGCCTGTGTAGGAGTGGTGAACATTGTATTCCAAAGTCAAAGAGAAACGGCTTTCTGATTCTCAAAAAGGTTGAGTTACCTATGATCCCATTCCATCGATTCTTAAGGATTATTATACCAAATACACTAAAAACATATTTGCAGGGGACTCACTAGCAATGGGGGAAACATTCACATTCTTTGACTTATGCTTCTATCCCCTAGATAGTCCATTTAGTTAAGTAATAATATGTTCTTTCCTTTATATATCAAGCTTTAACTCATCCACATTTAGGTGAAGACATATGTTAAAGACACACAGGGAGCCACCCACACTTTCCTTAAATAATGGCCCTGTTCTCTTTAAACAATGGCATTTGGTGGGTGGCCAGCTGGACTTAGGCTGGACTATCTGAGATCATGGTACACAGTGAGGACCAAGTGTCTTGAGTAGAAATTAACTGATCTATATAAGGATTGAATTTACAACATCTTGAACGCAAAGCCCAAGCCAGCTGATTATAGAATCAAACTACGTAAGAAGATTATCTTCTTCATTTTAGGTTTTCAGTATCTTCTTTGCAAAGGCACATTCCCCTCCGAATCTCTTAATTGAGATTAAATGAGGAGTTTGAGAACCCTCCCTCTTCGCGCCCGCATGGTGGGACACTGGAGCCTTTTTTAGACCTTTAAGAGAAAAGAGGTTCTACAGTGAGGTATCAAGTTCATTGACTGTACAACCAGGTAGACTCCAGAAATGAAATAAACTTAAAATCGATGCTGAGAAAAATTTTAGAAGTAGCTTTTGAATCCTAAAAGAAAGTCATATAAAAAATAAGTTACCTTCTTCCTGAGTCATTTAGTTTTAGCTTTTTGATTTGTTTCCATTTTCAGCCCTACTCACCATCCTGCATTGTCCAAGATGTTTTGCAATAATTATAGCTTATTATTAGCCAATAATCATGAATTCATCTTTTTACCTGATTCTTCAGTTTATATGTTCTGCTCTAGAGAATTTTTAAAATTTTGCTATCAGGTTCTGCATATCGACACTTCTTGCGTGTGTGTGCCAGCTTTCAATCAGAGCATTGCTGAGTTCTCATTGGCCAATTTGCTTATGGTCTGAATGCCAGTCAGTAATGCCCATTCACAAACGCATGGGATGAGGCAATCATGCTTGCAGCGAGGAAGCCTCTCATGCGATTTACTTTGTATGTAGTTTATAATCACTTTTTCTTGCATCTGGCTAAATGTCTGACCATGTGAAGTCTCATGAATACTAAAGAGCAAGTGCCCCAAATATGTGCACATTTTTATTGTATAATTGATGCAAGTGACTGCTCTGTAAATAAGATGTTTGCACATACAGTGACTTT